GGAGAATGCTAGAAGTCCTAATCCACAACATAAACAGTATTCCAAGTATCGTGAAAAACATATAACCAGGAGAAGATAAAATAGATGAGTGGGACCTTCTAAGAATCAAATCCCTATGCACATCCAAACACTTCTCCAACAGGGTACAAAGGGAAGCCAATGACTGGGAAAACGTATTTGATAATGACATATCACATAAGGGACTTAGGTCCAGAATTTATAAAATACTTGAGCACCACCACCAAGATAAAGGTATATAATCCAACAGAAAAATGGGCACAGGGTATGAATGACACTTCCAAAGAAGACATTCAGATGGCCAACAAGCACATTAAGAAATGTTTAAAATCCCGAGCTCTAATGAATGCAAATCAAAACAACAATGTCAGCACCCCAGTCAGAATAGCAAAATTTAACAGAACAGCAAGCAACAAATACTGGCGAGGTTGTGGAGAAACTGGAACCCTTATTCACTGTTGGTGGAAGTATAAAATGGTGCAACTACTGTGCAAGGTGGTATGGCGCTTTCTCAAAAAGTTGCAAATAGAGATACCATTTGACCCAGCAATTCCACTACTGTGATATACCCCAAAGAGACCATAACTGACCTCCAAGCAGATATACGCACACCCATGTTTATTACAGCTTTGTTCATAATAGCAAGGAGATGGAAACAACCTACGTGCCCATTAACAAACGAATGGATAGAGAATCTGTGGTATATTCACACAATGGAATACTACACTGCATTGAAAACAAGGAACTCATGCAATATTCAAAATGGGTGACCCTGGAAGATATTATGCTGAGTGAAGTATCTCAATCACAAAAGGACAAATACTACATGGTGGCACTGTTGTAAAACAGGACTGACTTCGGGGGTAGGCGGAGACTGAGAAAGATGGGTTCAATAATGTACACTGCACTGAAAGAGATGAGGTTTAAAAGGGATATGTCATTAGGTATTTTTGTCATAACAGGAGTCCAGAGCAAAGGCTGCATAGTGTAGTGGAACTGGGGGAGGGATTGTAAAACAACGAAAGAATTTTTCTTTTACTTTTCCAAGAGGGTAGTGTACTGGGGGAGGAGGCTTGGGAGGGAGAAAAGTGCAACAATGAATGAATGAAAATTCAAAGTGTCTGTAAATTTTCATTGAAATAATAAATTTTAAAAAATGCAAAAAAAAAAACACAACCCAGGAAAAAAATAATTTCTTTTCCCTCTCTTCTTCATTCCTCACTCAAATCTCCCCCCCCCAAAAAAAGAAACATGGTTAGGATCACAAGATCATGTAAATAGCCCAAATGTCCAACCACAACTGAATAGATTAAGAAATTGTGGTACATTCACAGAATGGAATACTATTCAGCACTCAGGAGCAACAATTTCAAAAAATACTACATCACTTGGGAGAGACGGCAGAACATTATACTGAGTGAATTTACTCAGTAAATTACAAGTACTGCTTAAGACCATTAGTGTAAAAATAAAAGGATAACTAGTAAAACATGTAAGGGACCTAAGGAGGTAAAGGGTAGGCGCAAAAGGGTAAGAATAGAGTAGGGGCGAATCTACAGGGTTGCAGAGTTTGGTGGGTGGAGGGAGCGGATTAAGGAAATGGGAAAGATACAGCAAGGATCTGAAAAGGAAGGGTAATAATGGGCACAATCTAATGGTGACTGATATTATAAAACATAATGCATGGGAATGACTGTATGAAACACAATATGAATGAAAAAATAGTGTGAAATACAATGTATATAAATTTTGTGAGCAAACCAATATAAAATAAAATTTTAAAAAATACACCAGAAAACATGGGTAGGTAATCTAGCGCAAATGGATGATGAGCATAAAATGAAGACAATTATATATAACTTCAGAACTAGAAAACCACCGAGAATCAAAGCCTAGCCAAGGAGACACACAACTTTAACATTCACAATCAATGTTACTCTCACCTTGCACTTTGGAATTTATTATTGCTACACATTATTGTCCAAAATAAACAGTAATTTGGGTGTTTTTTTTTATTATTGTCATAAATGTGAAATGTCAGAAAACAAGACAGTCATGAGATATAGGCATATTATCTTTTACTTTAGGCAATTTTGACATTTTAAAATAAAGTTACTCTTTACAACAACTGTGTTAAGTGTTTATTCTTCTCTGCAAAACTTTTCTTTTTTACATATGTCTACATTTCCTTTTTCTCTAAATGGTAACTTTCTTCTGTTTCAATTATTATGCAATTATAAAAATAAACAGTTAACAAAACAGTGCTACAGCCCTGAGATCTTAATCAACTGACTTATGAAGACCGACTGGCATAGCAGAGTCAACAAAGAGAAAATTCTACATCCTACATCCTGAGTAACAACTGAGGTCTTCAAAGTTTGCAAGCAGTCATTGCGGGGGTGGGGTGGGGGTGTAGTATCAATCCTTTCCTGCCTGGAATGAAGAAGAAGGAAGAAAAGTAAAAGATGTACTGAAAAACTAGCTTAAGGATCTAATGGGTCACTTGAATCTCAATTTTCAGGCCCCTGAGACGAGAAGAACTATACAGCAACTACCAATGACTACTCTAAAAAAGAACACAGTACAAGACCTGGACACAGTAAGGGGAAGGAAATGTGAAACAAAACTCAGAAAACCTAAAAATGGACAGACTTACTGGCCTGAAATAGATTGATAATAAGCCCTAAGACTATGGCTGTAGTTTTAGCCCTTTGAATCTAGAACAAAATTCACCGCTAACTGATTTTCAGCCCAATAATAAGAGACTATAAGGTGTGCAAAAGCACTAGGGGGCACTCACTCCTTAAAATAACCAATCATAAACTGACAAACATTTTACCAAGGAAAAAGTTCAGAAATTAAGGAGTAGGATAGAAAGATTAATAAAAATGAGAATTATGAGGAAAAAAGTATGATTACAGTGTAAGATAGTTAATGTTATAAAACAAAATGTATATGAATGGCTGAATGAAAAACTAATTTGCCTTTATAAATTTTCACTCAAACCACACAAAATTTTTGCAATAAAAAATTAAAAAAAAAGATACAAGTCCAAATACAACAAGCAAGACATTCTAATATTTTCCTCTGTGCTACTGAACTCAAACTACTTTAAATATCTTTGTAATAATAAGTAGGAATAGGCTTAGCCATCAAGTAAAAACTGCTTATTTAACTCTTAGCTTTGTTAAAAAACAAAAACAACAAAGTTCACGCCCTAAATGTGCATTAAAGTAAATCCTAAAGGAATTATACAAATTTTGATAGTTGAAGTTTGGACTAACTCTGATAAGCACTTTAAAAAACAAAAACAAACAAAAAAAACCTACTGTATTTATCTATTAAAATATTTCCTTAAAAAATTTCTCAGTACCATGAAAAGGATAGCTTATTAACTGATTATCCTATTTATAAGAACAGAACTTTGTCAATACGGGTGTAGGAGAAATTTTTAAGTGATGCAATAAAGCACTTAATTTTTTCAAAACTCCAAATTATGATAAAATAGACTCAACTGGGTAAGTCTTGTAGAGTGAAGAACTCTCCAAATCCAATGCTGGAGAACAAGAAGCAGCAGCTCCAACTACACTTTTAGGAGATGAATTTGCTGATATGGCCATAGTTCTTTCTAGGCAACAGAGAAAAGAGCTTCCTTCTGGGAGCTGCATCACGTTTCCCTACACCATCCCATAGCACCCTAGAAGGGTACAGAAAACATTGTAGCTTACCACATAGGGCAGTAATCATACCTTGATTTTTAATTATTAACCGTTGATCCAGCAAATATGCTTTGATCATTAACTTAGAAAAGTATTAGTAGAATAAATAATCAACTATGGTGACTAATTTTAATGAGACCCTAGTGCTAATCTTATTAAAGTATCTATCAGAAATCACTCTGAAATAGAGTTAATTAAGTTTTAAGGGTGCAAACCACTACTTAATACGGATATACCATAGTTCATTTAAGTATGCCTTGATTTTGTGTACTACAATTGTTTCCATGTTTTTGCCACTACAAGCCATTAAAAATAAAAATTCTGTATCATTTTAAAAAGGAAGAAAATATTCTGAATAGTCCCAAGTCACATAAAAATAAAACTCCTAAAGAAAGTTCAAAACTGTTTCTTCTACCAAATCACGAACAGTATACAAATTAGTGTGTCCAAAATTACAAAGTGCCATTTTAATATGTATTGGCTGCTATACAAATGTTTTCATGAAAAAATTTGAAGTTAATTTTAAAATATACTAACCAAGTATTTTACTGACTAAAGCCATTCTGGGAAGTATATGCACTTACATAATCTATTAGGGATCTCTGGTGGTCTAATAGGTAAGGAGTTGTGCTGATAACCCTAAGGTAGGCAGTTCAAATCCACCAGAAAGATGAGCAATCTCCTCTTTGACTTACAACCTCTGGAAACTTAATGGAGAGTCAATTATGAATCAGTTCCCAATGAGTGAATGATAGAATCTATTTAAGAGTACCTAGCATTTGAAAGGACATTAAATATTTCATCACAGATACAGATTATTTTAGCTATTTCCTTTTTTATGTGATTAAAAAGAAATTGGATTAAGAAAGGATTTTTTTTTTAATTGAGGCAATGATGCAGCTGGCATAATGAGACCTCCAATTTATATGCAGGAATAGTTAAAATCACCTAATTTTTGTAGTTATATACAAATAATCTATTATTAAACAAGGAAGTTGTAACTTTTATGAAATTCTAAGAGTTTTCCCTCTTGCAATTTATAGTAAAAAATGGAAAGAATACCCTACTAGGGGAAGGGGGGAAAAAACATCACCAAAAACTAAACCTGAAACCATTTTTTTGTGTGCCATTAAAGGAAACATTGGATTTATGGAAATGTTAGTTTTCCTATCACTTCATATTTAATTGTCTTAGCCACACCATAGAAATTCAGAAATTTTATACAACTACGATAAAATTATAAGTCTGTACAAGAAATATTACCTTTGGTTTAGAATGGGAGGTTGGTCTATGTTCCATCCACCTCCATTTCCAGTGAGCATGGTTACTTGTTTGGTCAATTTATTTGAAATGTCTTCACATTTGTTCATGAGCTTTATAACTACATCCCTTTCTTGGATTAGTGTCTTACAGTTCCATATCAAATCTTCTGATAAGCCATTAGTTTTTGACATCTTTGTGAACTATGGCAAGGAAAAAAAATAATTTAACAGTTCAAATCTAGTAAAAGGAATCTCAAGTTCAATTTCTTTATGAGGCTTCTTCAAAACTGTGTAACCACAAACCTGTTATTTCTTCCCAAAGTAGCTGTTCCCTTAAAGGAGAAACTCAGAAATAACTGTTAGTGTACCAAGGTTAACTTTTTCTTAACATGTGATTTATTTAGCTATTACCAAAGGTTAATACTTTGAAATCACCAAGCAGAATTACTTTAACAATTACATTCTCCGTCTTTTCTGCATTCATATTACTCTCCACGACTGCTAAATATTTTAAGAAATTTCTCTCCTAAATCTTAACTTTTAATAATCTATCCAAGTGCAAATCCTTAAAACTATCAAAACATCAATCCTTTGTTATTTGATTTTTTTTTATCAATACAGTGAGATTGCCACATTAACAGATCATTTATGAACCAAAATTTACCATGACTAATTCACTGATTAGCGAGCTCTGGTGACTTTGTGTTAAGTAGTTGTGCTGCCAGCCCAAACTCAAGTGTTCAAAATCCTCCAGCTGTTCCACGGGAGAAAAATGGGCAACCTCTTCTCACATGACTTGCAGTCTCTGAAAGCTCACTAGAGGTTCTGCTAAGAGTCAGTTCTGGTTCCAATTCAAATCAACAGCACATAACAACAACAATTCAATGACTGGATGAAAGGTAAAAAAAGATGATATTTAAATACAGGACTTATAGATTATGTAAAAATGCAAAGGAATTTCTCTTTTATAAATGTGTTTACCTTAATGGGGGCTTCCTGGGGCTAAAAGAGGAAGGGTAGTTACAGTTTAGTGGGTACTGAAGTTATAATGCAATGAAAAATAAGTGGTAAGAATAGAACACTGTGAATGCAACAAATGTCACATAATTATACACTTAAAAATGGTGAAGATACACTACAATTATTAAAAAAAAATTTTTAAAAATGGTGAAGATGGTAACATCTTTGTTACGAGTTTTATCATAATTTTTTCAAATATTATTTGAATGTTTTTCCAAAAAGAGACCATGAATACTTCAAATTAAAAATTGTACTGAAATTAGAATTTTTTATAGTAGCTGGATATAGTCTAAGATTGTTATAAAAATATTATTACTGAAAAAGATTAGAAAGTCTAGTTGAGTTAAAAAGTCTTATAATCCAGGACCTGCATAAATGAAACTAAGTCTTCTGTTAAAACAACACATGCATTAATTCAGGTCCTATTAGTCTACTCTTCCAAATATAACAACAATCACATAAACAACTCTAAAATTCTCCCTGTAAGTACACTTTATAAATTTACCAAAAAAAAGCTAAAGTAAAAGAAATTAGACATTACTAAGAAAATAAGCTAATTTCATAAAATTATAATTTACGTCAAAATCTATTTTTCATATTTAATACTGGATATCCAATATCTAGTCCAAAAGCAATTCATTACCTTATTGCAGAATTAGAAGGAAAAAACCCCTCACTTTATAAAATGGCTACCTATTTGTCGGTTATCTGAACACTATCCCTTCGATTTTCATGACAGCATCCAGTTACAAGTTAAGGTCCCCCTATATCACGCTCTCTAAAGACTGACTGTATACATAAATCACAGAACAGTTAAAAAAAATAACGCTTTTTGTTGTTGTTGTTATGTGCCATCGAGCGACCCTATGTACAACAGCCCTAAACTCCGCTCTGTCCTGTGCCAATCGCACTGTCTCTGACACTCCCATCCCAATTATCCCAGTCACTGAATCAATCCACCTCATAGAGGGCCTCCCTCTCCTGCGCTGTCCCTCCACCCTATCAAGCATGATGTCCCTCTCTAAGGACCGGTCTCTCCTCACAACATGTCCAAAGTATGTTAGAGCCTCAGAATCCTTGCCTCCAAGGAGCTACCCAGTTTAACCCTTTCCAGGACAAATCTGTTTGTTTTCCTAGCAGTCCATGGTATTCTCAATACTCTTCTCTAGCACCACAGCTCAAAGGCATCAATTCTCCTTCTATCCTCCTTGGTCATTGTCCAACTCTCTGATGCATAACAGGTGATTGCAAAGACCATGGCCTGTATCAGACGCACCTTAGTCTCCAAAGAGATACCATTGCTCTTCAGCACTTTGGAAAGGTCCCTAACAGCAGACTTTCCCATGGCAATGCGCCTTTTAATTTCCTGGCTGCTGGTGCCAAGACTGTTGACTATGGAGCCAAGCAAACTAAAGCTGTGTACAATCTCAATCTCTTCACCATCCATCCAGATGCTGCCAACTGGTCCAGTGGTGAGAATCTTTGTCTTCTTGACATTGAGCCTCAATCCATATTGTAGGCTGCAGTCCTTGACACTCTGCAGCAGGCGCTTCAGGTCCTCCTCAGTTTCAGCAAGCAGGGTTGTGTCATCTGCATAACGCAGATTGTTGATAAATCGTCCACCAATCTTGACCCCACATTTCTCCTCATAGAGCCCAGCCTCCCGGATAATCTGTTCTGCATATAGGTTGAAAAGGTATGGAGATAGGATGCATCCCTGGCATATGCCAAAGAAAGGTGACCCAACAGGATGTGGAAACTACAGAACAATCTCACTGATTTCACATGCAAGCAAGATTTTACTGAAGATTATCCAAAAATGACTGGAACAGCACATCAACAGAGAACTACCAGAAGTCCAGGCTGGGTTTAGAAGGGGTCGTGGTACTAGAGATATTGTAGCTGATGTTAGATGGATCTTGGCTGAAAGCAGGGAATACCAGAGGAATGTCTATCTGTGTTTCATTGGCTATGCAAAGGCATTTGACTGTGTAGATCATAACAAACTATGGCTGACTCTGAGAAAAATGGGAATCCCAGAACACTTGACCGTTCTCATGCGAAACATATACTTGGACCAGGAGGCAGTCGTCAGAACAGAGTAAGGGAACACTGCATGGTTCAGACACCTAAAGTAAGGAGATTAAAATCATCAAGAATCCCATCAAAATCTGGAAAAAAAAATCTGTTTTGACTCAAAGAAAAATGATCAACATGTCAGAACCTAAAGAAATAAGAGAAGACAGAAAAAGTCAGAATCATTTTAATGAGCTCTAAATTTAACTTAAGGGCACTGGAAAATTATTAAAACAAGATGTCCTATTTAGAAAGATGACTTATGAAGACAGTATAAAGAAAAACTTTTTTTTAAAAAAACCCAAATTAATAAAATCTCATTCAAGATGTTTAGATTAGATATTGATTTCAAGGAAAATACTTCTCATACCACAATAAAAGAAAAAGAAAAAGAAAAAAAAATCAAAGGTATTCCTGAAATTAGTTTAGGAAAGCAGAGAATTAGAAGACTGATAATAAACTAAATATCCAGTTTTAAAATGGATTTTAACTGATTAATATAACATCACTAAGCTGTGTAACTGTAAAAAGCTAACTTCCCAATATAAAGTAGTATAATAGATCTAACAGCAAAATTCTATTTATTTATTTTTTTAAATAGCAGATGCTAAGGCTTGTGTCAGGAGGATCTTGTTAGAAGCCAGAGAGTTGAGTACAGCTCATAGCGACCCTGTGAGCAGTGGATCTGAGGATCTGAATCCTCTTCTATCCTGCACCATCCTCACCATCTCTGACACACTCATGCCCATTGCTGCAGTCACTATGTCAATCCACTTTGATGAGGGTGGTCCTCTCTTTTGCTGACCTTTCAACTTTTCCTATAGGGGAGTTAAGTCTGAATGCACTGTAAGGAAGAAATCTATTTTCTTTTAGAGAACCAATGGATATAGACATGGAGTACCAAAGGGTGCTAACATTACAAAATAGAAATAATCAAAACACTACTGTTGCCTTGGGGGAGCAGGGGGGAGCATACCACAAAAACCCAAAACCCACAACACATCAGCAACTCTGTAACAGTACCAAGAGAAATCCTTTAGCATTCTAAAAATCATTTTAGAGACTATATAGGCAAATAAAAAACAAATAAAACAACAAACATAATATAAACACAAATGTATAATTCAGGAGATATAATTATGGTATGGATGATCACCAAAAACACAAAATAAAAGAGGAAGAAAAAAAAATAGATTAAAAGATCTACCCAGAAATCTCAGTATATAAAGTTCATTTGGATAACTCATATAATTTTTAAAAATGACATTTACAAAACAACTAGAAATTTGAACAATGAGTGGATATGTGTAATATGAAGGAAAATGTGATTCTTTATTATTAGATGATGATGTTTAACAGCATTGATATATATAAATTACATATATATAAAAAAATATAAATTGATATACATACATTTTTAATATAGAGGGGAGCACTTGTCGCTTAGTGGTAAGGAGTTGCACCACCAACCCAAAGGCACTCAGTTCAAATCCACCAGATGCTCCTTGGGAAAAGGCTAGCAATCTCCTCCTATGTATTGACTGCCTCTAAACACCTGCTGGTGGGTCATCTATTGGGAAGTCTGAAGAAGTGAGTGATAAAAATCCTGAGATTTGCTTCAAAAAGAATGTAAGATAGATGGCAAAATTCGAAGATACAAAAGAAATAAGAAAAAACATAAGCGGAAAGCTAGTCTTGAGAAAATGAGGGATAATTATACTATTCTAATAATCCTGAATGGCTGGAATTCTTTGCCACAAATGATGGTAATACATCAAAAAAAATGTGTTTCTAAGCATGGTCGTCAATTTAAAAGTGTGTGGCAACATGTTAACAAATTAGAAGGCAGGTGTAAAGATAGCATAGGTGTTAATTCAGCATACTGAATAAGTGTGAGTTGGTTACTGAGATTTTGAGGTTTGTTTTTTTTTAAATGAAACCTGACTTGTTTGCTATTTCTTAAATCAAAATTTCAAAACCATTTAAGGTCTCAGAGGTCACCACTTTCCCTACCCTTTCTGCCATACACACATTATATTCACTAGTTTTATACATTGTCTAAATTATTGCTGTTGACTTAGATGATAGATGTGATCATAATCCAA